GAACCTACCAAAGGTCGTTTAGAACCTTTTGAGGAAGCAATTTTTCTAAGTTTACACACAGGTATCATCTGCATTAAAAAAAAAAAGAACCCAAATCTTTCCTTCATTTAATCCCCTGCAGAAGCAAATTGATTTCAACTCATCCATCCCATGTCCTAAACATGCCAAGAAAAATGAAATTAATTACTTTATGGATCAAGGCCAACTCTATTTCCTCTGATTTTGTTATAAACCTACACATTAACAGCCACAAAAGTGACCTAATCTCCTTTACCTTGTCAGTGATTTATGGGAGCAGAATCCCTCACAAACAGGGCTGAAAAACCAGGTCTAATTATAATCATAAATATAAATCACCTTCATATCTCCTGAATTTGGTTTAAAACACCATCCCTACAATATTTATATTTGTTTCAACACTTCTTTTCGAAGAAAACAGGGTGAAAAAAAAAAAAAAAAGCTTTTGAAATCCAGCCCCAAAGCCCTGGTTTATTTACAGGAATCATCCTGTGAGAGGAGCAGCCTCTCCCTCGGGGATTAATGACACGTTTCTCATTAGCATAAATCTGCATCTCATTATCTCCACCCCTCCAGAGCCATTAGCAGAGTTAACAGGGCTGCTCTTCCATCCTCTCCCACCTTCCCAAAACAGGGAAGAAATCTGGATGAGGGAAGGAATAAAGTGGCTGCGAATGCCTCTTGTGAGCAACGTGGCAAGAATGAAAGAGTTTGGGCCTTGGAAGGCGGAAAAAAAGTGAACAAGCAAAAAATGGGTATTTATAGCAAATGAAAAGAGATTTCATTTCCAAGGATTTCTGGGGTGGGTTTGCTATTCCTGCAGAGCTGTGGGGGTGTGGAGTTCAGCTCTCCTGCCTCTCCTTACTCAGCGCTCGAGTCTCAGCCTCCTGTTCGGATAATTATAAGCTGAGCCCCTGAAAGGAGCTGGGAGATCGGGAATGGCACAGCAGGGATCTGCTGGAAGAGCTACAACCAGATTATTCACAAGATTTCACTTTTTATCACTATCAGGGAATCATGGAATGGTTTGGGTCGGAAGGGAACTTAAAGATTATCTCATTCCAACCCTGTGCCATGGGCAGGGACACCTTTCACTAGCCCAGCTTGTTCCAACCTGGCCTTGGACACTTCCAGGGATCCAGGGGCAGCCACAGCTTCTCTGCCCAACCTGTGCCAGGGCCTGCCCACCCTCACAGCCAGGAATTCCCAATATCCCAACTAAATCTCCCCTTCTCCACTATGAAGCCACTCCCCCTTTTTTCTGTCCCTCCATCCCTTGTCCCCAGTCCCTGTCCAGCTCTCCCGGAGCCCCTTTAGGCCCTGGAAAAAGGAATGGATAACTCTGACAAAAGAGCTAACCCTAAAATAAATGGATAACTCTGTCACCAAAGGTTAAATTAAAAACACACTTACTGGGATCCTTTCCTCGATATCCAACTCTTCTTTCTTCGGAGTTTCCACAGGATTTGCTCCAACAGGGAGGAATTTGTCACCTCCTGCACTGGGGAAGTACCTGGAGACCCCCCCAGAGCTCGGGGCAGATCCCAAAATCCCCTGGCTGCTCCCGGAACTAACGGGAACATTCAAACTATCCGGGGAAATCGCTCCCAGGTTGTCCAGGATGATGGGACCAGTGGGAATATTCAGGTTTAGAGACTGATCTTCAGGAGCATCCCAATTCTTCTGGCCACCAGCTGGAGAGCTTCCATCCTTTTTAAGGAGCTGAGCAACACTGGGAACCCAAACATCGGGATCCGAGCTCTGCCCCGTGTTTTTGCTTTCCGTGTCTTCACCGCTGGATCCAGAAACAATCTCTGGGATCATGGAGCCTCCTAAATTATTGTCCAACACTCCTAAAACGTGTTTTTCTTCTTCTGGAGGCTGCAGAGCCTCTGTGGAATTTGCTGGTGGAATAACTCCAGGTGAGGAATGTTTCCTGCTGGAAACATTCACGGCATTGTCCGACTGGGATCTTGTAAGAGAGGGGGCAGGCAGGAGGTTTTTACTTGGGAAATGCAAACTTCCCAGAGAACCTGCCTCCCTAGGGGGAGCAGCAGCAAAATCCTCGGGATCTCTGCTGCCTTTCTGGCTGGACAAAGCGTGGCTGGAGGAAATGGCAATGGCACTGGAGGCTTTTCTTCCAGGAGAAAATCCACCGGGAGTCCCGGCAGGAGGAACCTCCTCTGGCTGGCTGACGTTCCAAGATCCAACCTTCTCCATGAAACTAAGGGATGGGAGGGACTGGATTCTTCCAGTGTGGGGATATTTCCACCTGAAGGGCTCCAAATGTCCATCGTTTTCCTTCGGAGCACGTTGGGGGGAATGCTGCTTCCCAGGGGGCGCGGGGGAATTCCCTGCAGGAACATCAGGACACGCTGGAGAGGCCTGGAGATCCGACCGGAGCAGCGGGACACCGAGTTCTTCTGCCTTCACTGTCTTCTTCAGGAATACCCCCGGAGTGGACTGAAAGATGGGATGAGCAAAGTGCAGGGAGAACGAGGCGTCGCCTCCAAGATTGAAGGAAGGGGAAATGTCTGTGACTTTATGGCCCCTTTCAATGGAAAAATCCGAATTTGATTCACTCCTGCTCCCTCCGGGATCCGCTCCGGCCGGATATTCCGCACCGCACGGAGGCGTCTCCGTGTCAACAACCGGTTCTCCAGGTGCACCATCCCTGGTGTTTGTCCCAGCAGGGATCAGCTCCTCTTTCCCAAATCCCACTGCAGGAGGTGAATGTTTGCCCTGACCATCCAGGAAGGCTCCCTGGAGTTCCTCAGGGACGAACTTCGAGCTTCCAGAGCCGTTTAAATCCACTCCCTGTTCCTTGGACGCTCCTTCGCCTGGCTCAGAAGTCTTGGCAGAAGGAAGATCGGGAGCACCTGGATTTTGGGAATGGTCGTTCCTCGAGCCGTCAGATGAGTTATCTGACAAATCAAGCTCATTCTTTTCCAGCTTTTCCAGGACTCCTCCCTCGCTCTTGACCATTTTCACCTTCTCCTTCTGCATCTCCCTCTCGCTTTTTTCCGTCAGAGCTGTTTTGTAGGAGGAATTTCCTGAGGATGAGAGCTCATCCTGCCTCAGGAGCTCCTTCTCTTTCCCTGGAAGCTCAACTCCAGCAGCTGGACCATCGCTGTCACCGGAGGAATGTCCATCATTCCCAGACGTGCTCCTGGGCTCCTTTGGGAGAGAAGCTCCCGCTTGGTTCAGCCCCTTTTCCAGCAGGACCTTTGGAGCAGAGTTTGTGGAATCCTCACTTGTTTGGGGACTCGATGCCTCCCCATCAGTTTTCCAGGATTTCTTGGCCTCCTTGCTCCCCAGTTGTCCGGACAAGGAGTTTTGGGAAGACAAATTGGCATCTCCAGGTCCGGATGGAATTGGATGTTGGGACAAGGAGCAGCCACCGGGAGCATCCAAGGCAGGGGCTGTGTCCCTCAGGGATGGAGATTCGTGGATGTGGGAAGGCTCCAAAAGCTCCTGGGACACTCCAGAAACATCAGGAATTCCTCTGAAAGGGGCAAGAAAAGGAAGGGAATTTCTCATTATCCTTTTTAATCTCAATATCCTGATTTTCTGCTTTAATGTCACGGGGAAAAGCAGAACGTCCCTTAATCAAATAATTGGGGTTTAGCAAAATACACAAAAAAAAACATTCCCTCAATGGCCCAAAACCTGAAGAAATGGAAAAAAAGAAAAACCAAAAATGCCCTATAAAATAATAATAAAATATAATAAAAGAATCTTTATAAAATGTGTCTTTATATATATACAATATTTTTAATAAAACATTATATTATTGGTATAATTAATTAGCAAATATTCATATTTAATACAATGACTCATAATTCTATAACTAATTATAAAATATAGTGTTAATATTCTATTTATAATGTACTTATATAAAGACATTTTTTAATAAAAATATAATATGTATATTTAATTTATTACATAGTTATTATATATTTATAGATACATATATATATATATATAAAAACACATTTATATATCATTTTTATATAAATGCATAAAATGTTTTCTATATTTTTATTACACACTTGTCATATAAATATATTTATTATATAATATTATGTAATAAATATTACACATAAGGATTGTATTAATAAATATATATTACAAATAAAGTAGATGCAAACCTTATACTAAACTATACAGTCCCAAAATAATAAAACTTTAATAAAAATACATTAATAAAAAGAAATATTATAATAATATCAGTTTCTACTTAGTATGTCAATATTTTTTGACTTATTTAGGATCCAAATGTTTTTTCCTGACAGGATGTTATTAAATAAAGAAATAAGGGAATAAAATTCTACCTTAAGGGAATAAAATCCATTCCTGAGGGCTGGAAGAGCGACTCATCCAGGATCCTGGGGCCTCCTGTTGAGCACATCAGGAGTGGGAGACACGGAGAGAACCGACTTTCCTGGATTTCTGGGAAAATAACAAGGAAAAAAGAGCAATAAGAGCTTTGCCTTCCCATCCGAATTCCTTTTCAACTGCAGGGAAAACGATGGAATGCCATCCCTTGAACCCTCTGCTGGAGCAGGGTCCCTCAGGGAGGGAATTCAGCTTTCCTGTCAGGGAGCAAAATCCGGGTTCTTCTCGTCCATCTCCAAACATTCCATGGCACTGACATGTCCAGCTTATCCATAAACTTCCTTTTGTGCACATTCCCATCCTTTCCCACTCCCTGGTCAGCCCCTTCCATCCTGATTTCCAGGCAGGATGTCCACATCACCTTCCACTTCCTTAAAAACCAGGAGACCCCACTGATCCCTTTCCCAGCCTCCATTTTTCCATAAATTTCCATGATAGTAAAGGCTACACTGGATTTTTTTTCCTTAGGGATTCCAGATGAAGGAATTTCTTTTGGGATTCAAGGTGAAGGAACAATAAAACTTAAAGGAACAATAACATTTCAAGGAAGAATAAAACTTAAAGGACCAATAAAACTTTATTTTTAGTTTAAAATTAAGTTAGTTTTAAAATGGATTTAATTAATTTTGGTTAAATATGAATTAAAATGCTTTTTTGGAAGGAGGAAGGAGGAGGGAAAGAAAAAGGGGGGAAGGAAAGAAGGAAAAAGGGGGGAAGGAAAGAAGGAAAAAGGAAGGAAAAAGAGGAAAGAAAAGGAATAGGGGGAAAAGGGATGTAGCTTAAAAAACAGGTATAAACAGCTACTCCTGAATGATGTGACAAGAGGAGGAATTCCAAAGGGGCAATTCCTTTCAAATTCCTTCCAAAGAGGAATTCCAAGGTAAGCAAAACTGGATGGCAAAATTAATTATGGCCCATGTGGAATGTCAGGGGGGGAAAAAAAAAAAGAAATCAAGAGAGGAGAAAACGGCAGGATCAGCACAAAAGGGAGCCCAAGGAATGAAGGAACAAGGTCAGGGATGGCTCATTTCTGACATTAAAGGGCACAACCCAAACTGGGATTTAATGGACTCACCTGCTGGGGAATGGTGGGATTTGGGGAATGGCGGGATTTGAATCACAATTTGAATCGTGGTTTGAAATCATGGAACGGGAGACCGAGGTAATTCAGTGGGATCTGCTTCATTTTTATTTAAAATATACAGAAAACAAAGATTTGTGTTCAGGGGCTGATCCTGCCACAGCCTGGACATCCAATTCCTCATTCCCAACCATTCACCTGGAGCAGACAATCCTTCCAATCCATTTATTCCATTTAATGTACACTTTTGGCCCTTATACTTGAAAATAATTATACCCAGAATTGCATTAAAGATGTCAAAACGTGGATTTAAAGAAACTTTGGGCGAGTTGGAACCTAAATTATTTTAGCTCTGTTGGATGGACATTTCCCCCTCCCAACTCGTTTTATATTTAAAATAATAAAATAAAATAAAATAATAATATTTGGAGTTCTCAAATTCCTCTTGTAATTCCCACTTTATGTTTACACAGCATGGCATCTTATTTTGATTCAAGCAACAGAAGAGAAAAGTAAGTTTTCCTGCTCTTCAGCTCCATTTTTTCACTCTGAAAATGTATTTTCCAGCTGCAGTGAAAATCAGGAGGGATTAAAGAAAAGGTTTTTCCACCACAATAAAAACTGGGTGTGCTTTGGGAAGGAAGAGACAAAAAGCACTGAAGGAAGGATAAAGAAATAATGGGGAAAAAGTTGCCAAAAATAGATTTGACTAACTATTTTTTATTATATATCTAAACACATATATATAAAAATAAAAGTCCTACATACACACACATATATATACAGAACAAGTCACAATATCTGGCTGATAAATCAATATATTGTATCAACAGAAACAGAAGTACCACTCAACATTTGCATTAGGGAAGTCAAACAGATGAAAAAGTGAATTAAGATTCTCCAAGCAGAGCTGGAAACAGGGAATTCTCACGGCATCGAGTCCCTTCCAGAGCCTTCTTGTCTCTACCCTATGGGAAATTCCACAAATCCCTAAATTCTTGCAGAGAAGGTCCGTGGATGAGGCAGATATTTGCCAAGTAACAGTGCACAGTGCACATCCCTACAGGGCAGGGAATCCCTCCAAGTGTCCATGGGATACTGGGAAGGAATTCCTGGCTGGGAGGGTGGGCAGGCCCTGGAATTAATTTCCCAGAGAAGCTGTGGCTGCCCCTGGATCCCTGGAAGTGTCCAAGGCCAGGTTGGAGCAACCTGGGCTGGTGGAAGGTGTCCCTGCCCACGGCAGGGGGTTGGAACTGGATGATCTTTCAGGTCCCTTCCAACCCAAACCATTCCCAACCCGACCATTACATTCCAGTGGGAACAAGGTGACCTCACACAGTGGGTTTAGCAGGAAAAGCAGGACAAGGAAAAAATCAGACTCTTCAGTAGGAGATTTCAGCTGATTAAATCTGCAGAGCTGTCCCCTCAGACTGAGATCCTTCAGGAACTCGCTCCCCTGGCTTCTCCCAGGAGCATTCCCATTTCGCTGAGCCTCAGGCTGACAGTTCCCACCTTCTCCAGAGGTTCCCACCCGGAGGAACCATGGTGGGGATCCCTGACTTGAAGCAGCAGAAGGACTGACAAGGTCAGGACAGAAGAGCGAGCCAAAAAGGGAACATAAAAACAAGGAAGAGCGAGGAAAGCTGAGATTCCCTGCATCCCCATTCCCTGTGGAAACCCACTTGTTCCCTTTAGGAAGCCGCAGGGATGGCCTGCAGAAGCACCTCCTGAAGCTCAATAAATGCCATTTAATGGGGGATACAACCCTGCTTTTATTTCCCATATAAACCCCAAACCCAGCCACGCCCCACGTTCCACCTCCCGCCGCTTTCTCCCATCTCCCAGCGCACGACCCCGGCGTGTTTTCCTTTCAGCCCCTCGTTTTTCCCGGGGGGAGGCAGAACAGATCCCTGTGATCCCGTTCGGGATGGGCTCGGGGTGGGTTTTGCCAGCACAGGAGCCGAAAGCAGCCAGTGACGTCAGCGCATCCCTCTGGGAGCAGCTCGTGTGTCAACACACGGATTTCTCCTGAAGGTCAAAAGCTCCCGAGCAGGCAGAGCTGGGAATGTTCCCCTCCTTCCCAGCCCGCTGCAAATTCCAAATGCCACTGTCAAGCTGCCGTTTGGGGGAGGGGGAAAAAAAAAAAGGAAGGTAAAACACAACTAAAACCATTCTGTGGCTCTGCCAGGCTGTTCCACGGGAGCGGTTTCAGTACAAGTGGCATTTGAGTCTCCCTTCCTGCAGGAAGATTCCAGATATTCGTGAAGGGAAGAAGAAATTAATTATGTTGGAGCTTAATTTTTTTTCCTTCCCCCTCACCTCTGCTCCTGTATTTGGAAATGAAATGCATGTACAAAAAACATGGAGCTCCCGGGACAGCTCTGAAGGGGAAGAAATAAAAGAGCAGCAGGAGGGAGAATTCTCGTGTCTTTCTATCGTGTTAAAAAACATATAATTGAAAAATATAATGAAAAAAAATATAGGGTTAAAAATATATATTTAAAAAAGGTATTGTTGAAAATGTAAAATATAATCAAAATGTAAAATATATCATTAAAAATATATCATCTTAAAAATATCATTAAAAGTATATTACGTTAAAAATATATCATTAAAAGTATATCATCTTAAAAATATATTATGTTAAAGTATATTTAAAATATCATATTTTTAAAATTAAGATTTAAAATAATATTTAAATATATCATATTTTTACATTTCATATCAAAAATATAATGTATTTTAAATTTTTCATATAAAAATATATCATGTATTTAAAATTTCATATTAAATTTTATATTTAATATATATTAAAATATTTCATATTAAAAACAATTAACTATTTTATATTACAATACTCCATATTAAAAATATATAATATTAAAATATAAACAAAAATATTTAATTTTTTAAAATTTCATATTAAAAATATTTCATATTAAAACATATATTAAATCTTTCCTATTAAAAACTTATTAAAATATTTTGTATTAAAATACTTCCTATTAAAACCATATAATATTAAAATATTTCCTATTAAAATACATAATATTAAAATATTTCCTATTCAAAATATATCACATTAAAATATTTCCTATTCAAAATATATCATATTATAATATATCCCATTAAAAATATATCATATTTAAAAGCTTTGTGTTTTCTCCTTAATTCCAGTTGCACTGAAAACACAAACCCTGATAAATATCAGAGAGTTTTTATGGATTAAATAGTTTCCAGTTCTGCAAGTGACACTAATGAAGAGGAAAATGCTTTAAAATATATTAAATAAAACAATTCCACACAAAGGAGGGAGGCAAGGACAAAGCAGGAGGATGGGGAGGGACTGGAATGGAATTCCCAGAGAAGCTGTGGCTGCCCCTGGATCCCTGGAAGTGTCCAAGGCCAGGTTGGAGCACCCTGGGCTGGTGAAAGGTGGGGAACTGGATGTTCTTTAAGGTCCCTTCCAACCCAAACCATTCCAGGACTGTGAATATCCATTTGAAGTGCAACATTCCAATATGGGTTTTGCCCAGACCAAAACAGAAACATCAGGAATTGCAACTAAGATGATAAAATCAACAGGAATGAAGGAAGAGGGTGGGTATAAACTTGTGTTTCAGCAGCAGAACAGAGGCCAGGAGGAACAGCAAAGCCCCATCCCAGGAAAAGTGGGCAAACAACAATTTTTTTAGACATTTTATAAGTAATTATCCCCTTTCCGTTAGTCTGTGATAACACCACATCCCCACAGGAAAGTCCCTTTAACTGCACAGTCTGGGTGAAATTTTCTAATAGCACAACACTTAATCCATAATTCCTCAGTCTTTTCTCCTATCTTGAAAGAATAATTAAAGAACACTTAGCAGATACCTTTGTAAAAGGGTTACTGAAAACCTTTTAAAACTGTATTTGGGCACTACTTCGACTATAAAGAAACCCTGTAAGGAGCAGGAAAATATAAGAGCAGGTGGAATTTATGAGACCAGGGTACAAGCCTGAACACACTCTTATCAAACAGTTTTTCATGTTATCAATGCAAATATATCTACCTTATCATCATACTTACCATTCTGAAATAAATAAGGATTTTTGACTTATGAATATAACACAGATTTTAAGGGCACAGAGAATTATCATCTCGCCCACAGAGAACCCAAAAAATGGCAAAATTTACTTGGGTCTGCCCTTAATTCTAAAGGAAAAAACAAGATTTCAGTTTTACCTGAAACAAAAAATAATCTGTAAGAGAAGCTGCAGGGAAGGGACAAACCCTCTGTCTCGTTGGGAAGGTGGGCCTGGACAATAAAATTACACCAAATGCAGTTTGGAAACACAAAGAAAATCAAACTCAGGTTAGGGGTTGATTTAACAGTAAAACCTTCATTGTAGAGCAGTTAAAAAAAAGGCCACTGTGAACATACCCAGCAGTGAGTCCCGGGCTGGATCTCCAGGAAAACACCTTCTGGATGCTCCTCCTAAGGACAACATTCCTTCCTCCAGCGTGGGGAATTCTGACAGGTCATTCCTCTCACGAGTCAGGCCAAGCTTTGTCTCTGAGGCAGCGGTTAAACAGCTGGAATTTCCTTCTGCTGGAAGCTGGAACCACGGCTCGATTCCCTAAAAACACAGCAGGAGGAAAAAAGTGCTCCGGCATCAAGCAGGTACTTCCAAAGGAAATAACAACCAAGTACTGAAACAACATAATTATTGATTCTAAGTTGTATTTCTCACACAAAGACTCAGTTTTTAATGTTAAAAATATATATATATACACATAAACTAATAAAAGCAATAAAATATCCCAGGGAATGATCAAAGTCCAGCCCAATCCCTGTTTAATACCTGAAAGCCCTTCTACATCTGAACACCACGAAGTCATTTAAAGCTCTTTTTTTCCACACCAGAATTTTGCTGTGTGAGCCCCAGTCGTTGCACAAGGCTCTTCCAATCGTTCAGGAACGCAACTCTTGAGCAGCCCAGGCTTTCCAAACCACTTGTGAGCTCACGGAATCCTCAGAGCAATCCAACATTTGGCAGCACCTCCAGCAGACGGAGTGGCCGGGGACTGGATGTGGCGGCATCTCCATCAGGCACATCAAGCCCTTCCCGGTAATTTCCACCCCATAATGAACCTCCAGACAAAGCTCAGCACAAATACCCAATTAGCAGCAGTTTTCCTACGGATTGCTTCTCCCAGGGAGATCCCACTGGTCGCTGATCCCTGCGTTTCGCTGCTGCTGCTGCGGCTCCAGGATTCCTCCCTCCGGTCCCGGCGTGGGGGAGTCGTGGCAATGGGCTACAAGGAATTCATTCCTGGTTAAAAACACATCCTCTCTTTCCATTTCAGTGTGTGTGGTTATTTACTCATTGTGAAACACCTGAAATACCATCCCCAAAAAATTGGCTCCTCCCCATCCTCAGGCGGTGCCTTAAATTCCACCCAGACTCCCAAACTTGGCTCCTTTCCTGCTTTGGATCCCAAAAAACTGAGCCTGGTTTTGTGCACATCAGCCCATCATTTCTGAGGGCCAGGCATTTATTTCTCATTCCCAAATCCACATAAATCACAAACCACCAAAACTATTCACCCCCTTGATCAGAGTCGGACGTTTGTCCTGTGTTCATTCGATGGTTGTTGAGTTTCTAATATTTATATTTATTTATTTATATATATTTTACACATTACAATACTGCAATATTTATTATTTTACTAAAATCACGTTCTAACTTATATCAATGTCATAAAATTCAATTTTAAAAGCCAACTTAGGTAAATTACTTCATCAAGCCCAGTTAATTTCTAGATTATAATCAGGCAATGCTTTGAGGGCAGGAATTGAAGTTAACTTGGATTCCTGCCAGGAAAAGAAGCTGTGACATTATTTTTTTCCCCCCATGAGGTACCAGAGGAAGCTGTTCCTGAACTCAAAATGAAATTTCTCCTCTAGAACATCCCATTCCTGAGGTCACAGAGGCTGGAGCAGCATTTCCCAGACAGCACAGCCAGGCAGGTTTATTGAGATTATCCCTGGGAAAAAAGGTATTCCAGGAACACAAAAATGCTCCCTGTCACCTCCACCTGCACCAGGAACTATGGATCCACTGCTGGTGGAATTACAGTGATCCATGAAGTGGGAATTCACATGTGAGGGGCAGAAATAAAAGGATGGAGAAAAGGATTTCCCAAGATGAAAGAGGGAAAAGTCCAGACCCAAGACCTGGTTTAATGTAAAAGAAACCTTCAAAATTCAGCATTTCAGGTTGTTTCCTTAAAATGTGAACGTTCCCTCCTAGATCATCTAAACTGGCTGGATTCTCTTTCATCCTTATGCACCAAAAAGCTGGAAAAGATGGGAATAAAAGCTTAAGATTTTGTAAAATTTATGACATATTGGAAGTTCAGAAAGGTCAGCTCACTCTCTTATTTATTAATGCCATCGCTTTACAAAACGTAACATCTACAAAAAAATAAATTACAGTCACCACAAATTATTTATCCACCTGTTGTGTTCCCAAGAATCCATTGATTCTACCATGGAGAGAGTGGATTTAGCATCTTCAGATGAGGAAAACCCCTTGGATTGTTCAAGAGACACCCTAACTCCTCACCTTGCTGTGCTTGGGTTGTCACCTCCATGTCCCCAGCCCTTCCCTGGACACCTCCAGGGGTGGGGACTCCACCAAAAGTGATCCTTAAGGAAAAATAATCACTTCCTGAAGTCAAATACTTCCCACACAAGCAGGATTCTCCTGCTAGTCCTGAGTTAATGTGTGTTTTCCCAAGCCCAAGCTCCAAGTGGCAGTTCCCAGTTTGACGATTTCCTTTTTCATCCTCATTCCAAAGAGGAAAATATCCAAGAAATAACACAGTGGCAGGAATCTGCACGGTGTGTACCAGGATACAGGTACTTAATGAAGCTGTTGCAAGCAAGAAGTAAAGATTTAGTGAATTAGTGTAATCATCTCTGAGGGCTTCCACGGAATTAAACCCAAATGAAGGAAACTCAACAGAAACTCAACAAGCTTTTTCTCTTCCTGAAATCCAGCACCTCAAAAGTTCAGTTTTGCTGCTGAATACATAAAAGGGGGGGGGGGGGAAGACAGAAATAAAGCTGAACAAACCACAACCAACCACCCCCACACAAGGCAGAGCCAGGGAATGAAACAGCTGGAGCAGCAGCTCCTGATTGGATCTCTGAAGTGAAATGTGAACAATGCTCGGTTTTGAACTCCTGAAGGTTGGAATATCCAGGTTAGTTCTCCTTTAGTCTGCCCCCTCCAGACCACTAAAATATCCCAGTAAAAATATCACATGACAGAAGCCAGGAGAACAAAGAAAAAAAAAAGGAGATTTATAGAGACACAGGGAAGAGAACCCCCGAGATGGTTAACTCCAACAACCTGATCTTCCCAAAAGATCAGAAATACTCTATAACTTCTTCCCAACGCTTCAGCTCTTTCCTCCTTCCTAAAAATCAGAGCTACAGGGCCAGATTAATTCAATATAAATCCGTGTTTCAGTTTTCCCAATCCATCTGAAAATGCAGCTGCAGAATTACGAGTCCTGGAAAAATTAGCAGTGGAGTTCAGGACCAACTTCTCCAGCATCAGGGAGTTTTTACCCCAAATTGAGGTGACAAAGGAACAGTGACAGAGGCAGATCCCACCTTGACAACTCCAGGACTTCTTTTTCCCTATTTTGTCAAGAACATTCCCAGTTCTGATGCTGTCTCCCAGAGCATTTGTCACTTCCCCTGGCACAGCTTTATCTACTTATTTTCTAGGTCTCACCATCCACTGTTCATGGCATTCACCAGTGGAAATTCTTAATGGGAACAAGAGAAAAAAAAACCAAAAACAAACAAACAAAAAACAACAACAACAAAACAAAAAACCACCAAAAACAAACAAACAAACAACCAAAACAACAACAACAACAAAAAACCAACCACAACCAAACACCAAAACCTGGAATGTCTTCCAAACTTGCTGAGTATTTTCCCAGTTCATGCCAAGATCAGAAACCCTTCTGAGGTCACATTACAAACCAACTCCATCATCCCTTTAGCTCCTACAACCCTCTCAAAGATGGTGATTAAATGGGTTTGGAATCCATTTTCAACACTCTCCTAACATTGTATTTCAAGTGGTTTCACGGAATCACTAAGGTTGGAAAAGCCCTTTAAGATCAAGTCCAACCATCAAGCGACAGGTCCACCACTAAACCACATCCCCAAGGGCCACATCCACATTGCTTTTGAACCCCTCCAGGGATGGTGATTCCACCCCTTCCCCTGGGCAGCTGTGCCAATGCTTGACAAGCCTTTCAGGGGAGAAATTATTCCCAATATCCAGTCTAAACCTCCCCTGGCACAGCTTGAGGCTGTCTCCTGTTCCCTGGAAGAAGAGACTTTGTCAAAGGCTCTGATTTTCATTTCTCCATTAGTTTATGTTCAAACTGCACGTGGGGATAAGACATAAACTACATCCTTTATCACAAATAATAGCTAATTCAAGCTTTCCAGGGTTTCTCCCAGGCCTGGGAAGCCTTTGGGAGCAGGAGCAGGGGAGGTGTGAGCTCCTCCACGCCCTGTCCCCAGTGCAGTGTGAGCCCTGTGCCACTTGGAGTCCCCAGCCCACAGCTGCGGGCAAGGAATGAAGGAGCATGGAAAAACAGGAACCAATCTCTCTGTTCACACATGGAATTGGCCACCTTGTCCCTGAAGATTAAAGATATTATTTAGCCAGAACACAGGGAATGTAGGTCAGGCTGTCTCATCCCAACCTGCTCATTTCAGGGAGCAATTATCAGCTTGGAATGAAAAACCGAGGAAAAGCAAACCCACTGCGGTGCAAAAGCCCTTCAGAGGCCACACACAAACTCAGAATCCCCATAAAAATGCAACTGGAGTTCATAATAACCCAGTAATTTCATTTATTTACAGCTTTATAGCCCGTATCAACCCTGCCTGGTGTGTCAGAACACAGAGTAAAAAAACCATGAGTCTCATTCAAGCACAGAACAAGG